AACTCGGGGCTCAACTCCAGCAACACACGCACCTTGCGAAGGGAACTGCACCGGACCAAACAAAGACACGCCTGCCGTCTGGAGGCCGTGTAAAGGCGAATTTAAAACAGGGGAAATTTTAAAAAAAAGTAATTCCATTTTATTCAAAAATGTTATCGTGCACGGTTCCATAAAGCCCCTTCCAACCCTCATGTTCGAGCGTCAGCGAATTCATGGAGGGCACACATGTCACTCTTGTTCGTGTTCTTGTTGTCCAGAATTTGGTCACGTGGCTGCGCGTGGCTGCAAAGGTGTCTAGCAGGTCTCAGGCTGGGCGTTGTGTATCTCCTGGGGTTGGGACTGGAGAATGCTCTTCGAATGAGTTCTGAACCAGACCTGGGCAATCGTGTCTCTAAAACAAAACAGGAGAAGGCTCATCTAAAATGGTGGTCACTACACATTAGTGCCGCGAGGGTAGAGTGGGGTGGGAGGTGCAAACAGACGAATAGGGCAGTGGCAGTGTCTTTCCGCGGGTATTTGGGAGTCGGTGACATAAACACCCACCTCCGAGCAAAACAAAGGCTGACATTGATCACCAAACCCAGAAGCTGCTGGAGAAAAGGCCTCACAGAGGAGATAGTTTGGCTGGGTGCTGAAGCTGAGTTCTGAGGTTAGGCTTTGGGAGAGGAACATTCCTGACCCAGGGTGGTAGTGAAACCCCTGTGGGGGAGTGAAAGTCCGTGGCCTGTCTGGGTCATTGTGAGTCACTTGTTGTGGCTGGGAAGACAAATGGAAGAGCAGCTACTGTTCATTCTGAAGCATCAGCCTGCCGGAAGGCAAGCACCTGGCTGCATAAACCGAGGCTTTCGGCACCAGATGATAAGCTGAGGACGTGACTGCTCCGAGGTGTGGTTGAGGGGAAGGTTTTTCTGTAGATGCGAGGCATCTGGAAGACTCGGGAGCAGAGAGAGGGAAAGTAGTAGATTGAACATGGCAACCAGACTGGACGTGGCCATGAGAGGAGAGAGGAGAGAGTGAGAGAGGGGAAGAGAAAGTGTGGACAAAGGAGACCAAGAGAGAGGGCACCTAGAGAGGAAGACAAAAGAGAGAATGTACAGCCCACAACAGTAGGTTTATATGGGAACAAGAAGCTGGGGGATGGGAGCCTATGAGCTGGAGAAGTTTAGGGCAGGGGGCAGGGTGAGAAGAGCCAGAATGCCTGTGTAGACTCGAGAACAGGTACTTGTGATACTGAGTGAGCCTGGAGGCCAGCACGTTCTTTGATAGGCTAGTAGGCACCACAGATAGCCATTTGCCCCCTTTGACAGTGATTAGGAAATGGCTCCTTTGGGAGAGGGGAGCGGGTGCCAGACTTTGGTGGACCTGATGGTGTCTGAAAGCTCAGCAGCCCTGTGGAATGCATTGTTGTTTCTCCTGTGCAGACGAGGACACTGAAGTTGAAAGTGGAATACCAAAAATCACGCAGTGTAAAGTTGTGATTTGTACCTCATGGGCTCTCTGAATGCCAAAGGCTGTGGTTTCCTCTTGTGCTATGATTTACAGTGAGACCTGATTGCTATCTTAATGAAACAAACAAGCAAAAAATACAGAAGACAAATGTGACATAGGTATTTCTCAGGTTGCATTTTATCAATAAACATATTACGTTTTGTAGGTGAATATTTTATGTGCTTGCATAATTATGCTTACCTATAAAATAGACTTTAGCTGTGTCTTAGTTACTGTTCCGTTACTGCGAAGAGGCACTATGACCAAGGTAACCGAGGTAAAGAAAGCATTTAATTGGGGACTGGCGTACAGTTTCAGAGGGTGAATCTATGATCATGACGATGGGAAGCCGACAGGCATGGAGCTGGAGCAGTAGCTGAGACCTTTACATCCTGCAGCAGATATCTCTATCTCTATCTATCTATCTATCTATCTATCTATCTATCTATCTATCTATCTATCTATCTATCTATCTATGGAGAGATGCTAGACTTGGTGTGGGTCCACTTCCAGTGTCATATCTCCTCCACCCAGGCCACACCTCCTAATCCTTCTAATCTTTCTCAAATGGTGCTACCCCCTGGTGACTAAGCATAGAAACATGTGAGCCTATAGGGACCATTCTTATTCAAACCCCCACAAGCTGTACATTTTATAGCTAAAGTTTTAGCTCTGATGACTATCTATGGTCTAGACTCTGGCATCCAGTCGCTTAATGGCATCCCTAATTTCTTTGTTCCTAAAAGGGGTGAGAATTACGCCACTGCCTAGTCTCAGAGGTCTTATGTTCAAATTAGGTTGCAGCTGTCACAGGACAAACGAGGATTATTGTGGACACGGGCTTGGCCTTCCTAAAAGTATACGATGGCTAAAGCCCGGCAATTGCCTGAGGGAAGGCGCACAGCCAGGGACAGGGCCCCTGAAGCGTTGAAACTAGCAGCTTGGTCAAGAGGCGTGGCACTGTGCTGTCCTGACTCAGATAAGCTGCCCCGGGCTGCCCTGGGAGGCAGCAGAGAAGGCTGAGCTGGCACGGGTGCTGCCTGGCTTGGTGAAAGACTGTTTCTCCAGCCTTTCCGGTTGCTGGGAAATGCCTGGGCTAGGGAGTTGGTTTGGATGACTGTCAACAGCTTGGCGAGGGTGGAGGAGACTGTCCAGACGTGCCAGGCCATGAGGAATGTGAGAGCTGCCAGGCGAGCAGTCCCCTGCCACATCTGGGAAAGGCTGGTGGCTGGGAAAGAGACAAGATGGGGTTGTCAGGAACTGTGGCGACAGTCCTCATTCTGCAGAGGTACCTGTGAGGACAGAGTGGGCCTGGGTAAACTAAATCTAGGTGAAAGGGCATCGAGGTCTCACTGCTGATGTGGCGTGACCTGAAGCACCCATCTTCTACTCTCATAAGAACAGGATCATTCTAGATCTGGGGAGGGTACCGTCATGATCTGGAGGTCCAAAATCCTTAGTATAGGAGACTAGTGTGCCCACATGTATGGGCGTGGTCGCACAGATGTTAAGTATCGAGTACACTCCATACAGTTGAAGGGGTCTACCTTTCTGTATCCTCTGATCTTTTGGCTCGTGAGAGCCAGGCCATATGTCACTATACTCAATGACAGACAGCCTTAACCTTAGTTCAAGTAAAGCCCCTGAAGCCCACAGAGAAGAGAGTTCTTTCATCTCATGGATTATGGAGTTATCTGTTAGACTGTGGTTTCTTGGGCAGTAGGTATTGTGCATAGCCCCAAACCCAGCAGTGCTCTGGGCCATCTCAAGGAATGGGCTCAACTCTCCTGGTGCTCATAGGCCGCACTTGGCCATACCGCGTGAATAACAGCTCTGCAGTGAAGGCCAAGAGAGCTGGTAGCGGGAGCTGTAGCAGCCAGGGCAAGCAGCACCTTGCATCTGTGCGTAGAGTCAAGCCGGGTAGTATCAGTCAAGCAAGCAGAAATGGGAGAGGGGACATGTCTAGTATGGCTTATGGCTGTGAACTCTGGTGGGGATCCAGACTTGGAGCCATGTTGGTCTGAGCCGCTTAGGAACCAAGGCCATAGGAGTTTGTTCCAGGTGAGCGAGGGAGGAAAGCAGCCAGCCTGGCGCTCTGACAAAAACCATGGAGCTGAGTCATTCATCTGTGGGCTGCCTTTGTCAGGTAAAGTGCTGCGGGGCTGGAGGATGCTGGCCCAGGGTCTGAGCTAAAGGAGGAGGCTAATGACAGCGTATGTTCCCCAGGGATGCTTCCTGCTAGCGGGCATGTGGCGGCTTCTCTTTTTATCTTCATGAGAAGCATCTTATTCTGGGCTCATTTAGAGGAGGGAGGAGACCAGGCAAGGAGGAGCCCCGAAGCCTCGCCCAGGGCAGCACTCCTGTAACTGAAGAATTCTTCGGTCTCCACAGACAGTTTTGGTGACTCTCAAGGTGAGGGGAGCAGCTTGCCGTCAACCAGTTACTTTGCAGTCTCACTTCCTCAGGAAGCCCTTAGTATTTGGGGGTTAGGGGTGGGGAGTCACGTGTTTTCCAGCTAGAAAGGACTTGGGTTTAAATCCCAGATTTAAACTGTTTAAATTTAAGTGCTGTTTGTTCACTCCGTGAACTTGAAGACTTAGCTTCTCAGCTCCTCAGTTTGTGTCGTGACTGGCATTAGTTATTCCTACAGCATAGCATTGACATGTGTGCTTAAACTAGAGCTGATCATGTGACTGTGGTCAACAAATGGCTGTTTTAGAGACCACAGCCCAGTACCCAGAATTTACAAAGTGCTGCAAAAGACAAAACCGAGGAGACGACTGCCAATGAGCAATAGATTAATGGAATGGATAGGCAGTTCTCAAAAGAAGAGACACAAATGGTCAGTAAATATTTTAAAACCTAGTGAACGTCTGCAGTTATTAGGAAAATGCTTTGGGATACCACATCATCCTAATCAGAATGCTGGCATCAATAAATCTGATAACCAGTGTCAGAGAGGATGTGGGGACGGAGAAACCCTTATTCGTTGCTAGTCGGAGTGCAAATTAGACAATCAAATCAGTACAGCACAAATTATTATGGAGGACCCTCAAAAAATGAAAAATAGAATTTCCACATGACACCGCCATTCTACTCTTGGGCATATACCTAGAGACTCCATGCCCTATAACAGAGATGCTTGCACATGCATCCATGTTCATTGCTGCTCTGTTGACAATAGCAAGGAAGCGGAGGCAACCAAGATGGTCATCAACAGATGAATGGATCATGAAAATGTACTTATTATGTGTTATAAATAAAAATGAAAGTTATAGGAAAATGGAAGGACCTGGGAAGTATAATATTAAGTGAGGTGACTCAAACTTGGAAACAAACCATGGTTGTCCTCATACTTGGAGTCTAGCCTATAACATATGCATGCGTGTATGGAAACAGGTGTAAGAGTGGTGTCTTAGGGTTTCTATTGCTGTGAAGAGACACCATGACCACAGCAATTCTTATAAAGAAGAACATTTAATTGGGGCTGGCTCACAGTTTCAGAGGTCAGTCCATTATCATCATGGCAGGACATGGTGGTGTGCAGGCAGCCATGGTGCTGGAGAAGGGGCTGAGGGTTCTGCATCTTGATCCGCAGGCAGCAGAAGGAAACAGAGTGCCATGCTGGGCATTGTTTGAGCATAGGAAGCCAGGAGAAGGCATCCCATTTTCTGTAAGTGGAAGTAAGGATGGTTGTGCCCTGCCATGTGGGTGCTGGGAGTCAAACCCTGGTCCTCTGTGAGAGCAGCAGGTGCTCTTAGATGCTGGGCCATCTCCCTCATCCTGAAAACATGACTTAAAAGGTGTTCTGGGAGAGGGGTTTTGTAACCTGATATTTTCTCCCTTTTTTTCTTTGTTTATACTATATAAAATATCTATTATAATATATTTAATTTATAATAATTATATTTATTATAATAATATAATTAATAATTATTATAATAATTTATTATAATATATTTAACTTATACATTATATTTCTATAGATAAAGTGTGACTTTAATTTCAAAATTAACTATGATAGCTCCTTTTAATGGTTATTTTCAGTTATTGCTCACCTAATGGGCCAGATTCTGCTAGGCACTGCACACGCAAAGGCGGATGAGAAACAGTTTCTCCCTGGAGGAGCTTCAGTCTGTGAGGAGAGAGGGCCATGTGCAGTGAGGCACAAGAGCTGGACCAGTTGTTGATGGAAGGAGAGGAAGGGCAAGGCCAGAGAAGCAATGGGAACCCCGTCCCACCCACAAGACTATAAGGAAGAAAGAGCAGTTTTCCAGACATTTATAGCACGAGGACCAGGCAGAAGCGGCGCTGTTGGAATCTGGCCATAGACTTCCTCACAAGAAAGGCAGGAGCTGATGGTAGAGACTTCCTTGGCGAGCAAACCCGTGGGGCTTCGGCTCCTGCTGGCATTTGAGCCCACTCAGGTCGGGCTAGGGCAGGGTCTATAGTCAGGTGGGTGGACATGGGCAGGGAACCCAGCCAAGCCTGACTATAAGAGGGTGTTAATGGGCTACTTGTCATTACAGAGTTCTTCCAGGCTCAGGGTTCAGGTCATACGTGGGCCTCCCAAGCCGTGAGACTCATCACTCAACTGGGATCTATGAATGCTGAGAGCAGGATCCAAGGAGCGTGGGCAGGAAGGGCTTCACGGTCCAGGAGTCCTGAAGTGCTGATAGCAAGCTGGGAAAGAGTTCAGGGGACAGAGCGACTTCTGCATTTACGTAAAAAAGAACTAGGGGTGCCCTTGTTATTCAGGGTCTCCGTACTCTACAGACAAATGTAAAGCCATGTGATAGACATTTCGTGAGTCATTTGGATGAGATAAGAACAGACGCTTACTTAGGTCTACCGGGCTGTTGTGTACCATCTAACTGAAAATAGAAGCGGATACAGCAAGTTTCATTTGCTGGACTCTGCACTGTTCCTACAGACAGTATGAACTTCACTTTTCTCTGCTTCAGTCACTGTTAAATCCAGTACTCAGAACCACACCTGCTTCACAAATGGGAATGTGGCGTGAGAGGTGGTGACTCACCCCATCTTGCTGTTCTCACTAGCTCAGATGCGGTCCCCTGGGTCCTGTGTTCTCACCTCTGGCCACCGTGAGTGTACCTGAATGTAGCCTTCCTTCTGCCCCAAGCTAATGAAACTGAAGTCTTTGTCAGAAGGCTCTGGGCAGTATCCTCTTCTGAAAGCTCTGCAGGTAATCCCCAGGCAGCCGTGGTTAGGAACTGTTGTCCTGTGGTATGTAGAGGTGTTTCTCACTGTCTTCCTTTTCTTCACAAGGCCCACCCCACCTTCTTGACAGCCAGGGTCTCACATTTGCCTGAGAAACGGTGCGGATGAAGAGAAGGTTCGTATTGTTTGTCTTAGCCGGTTCAGGTCACTGTAACAGTAACAGTTGAGATTGAAAAACCCACGATCAAGGCATTGGCAAAATTACTTCTTAGTTCCCAGCTGGTATATTGCAAGGGGCTGCTGTCTCTCTGAGGTCTCCATAAGAGCACTAATGTCATCTGCGATGGCAGAGCCTTCCAGACCTCATGAGATCCAGCTTCTAATATCACTGTGCTGAAGGGTAGGAATTCGATGTTCGAGCTTTTGGGGATGTGAATATTGAGACTTTAACACATCTCCATCACCAGATTTGTGCCCGTATGTTCCCCTTTCTGCCTGTTGGCATGGGGGCACCCGTGTCTTAGTCACTGTTCTATTGCTGTGAAGAGACCCCATGACCAAGGCAACTCAAAAAAAGAGCATTTAATTGGGGACTGGCTTACAGTTTCAGAGGTGTAGTCTGTTCTCATCATGGCAGGGAGCATGGCGGCATGCAGGCAGATGTGGTGCTGGAGAAGGAGCTAAGAGCTCCATCCTGATCTGTAGGCCAAGAGAAATGGCCCTGGGCCTGGCTCCGGTATTTGACTCTAAGCCTCCCACTTTCTCTACACTTCCTAATCCTTCTAATCCTATCAAAGAGTTCTACTCCATAGTAACTAAGCATTAAAGTATATGAGCCTGCGGGGGCCATTTTTATTCAAACCTCCACACTCCCCGTTGCTTGCCCTCTTTATTTGTGAATCTGTCTTATTCTGTCTTAATTAAGGGTGTGGCTCTGACAACTCTTCTCTCTCCAATATTATTTTTCTGTTGTAACATTCCACCTGTTCCCATCCCTCTAATGTATCTACCTAATTGCCCATGTATTGATCAACCTATCGCTGAATGGCCACTTTGTCTCTCCGCTACCCATCTGTGAATGCCTGCACATTTCCCCTGATTTCTTACGCATTCTAGTCATTGCCCTATTTTTCTGCTCCTGAAAAATAATTTTCTGTTTCTTTCCTGCGGTTTATCTTCTCTCACTCCCATTTAAGTCTGGTCTGAGCATCAATTTTTTTTTCCTTGTTGCTCTCCAAGCCTCTACCCATTAGGCGCATCAATAATCTGCCACAAGCAATGGCCACATCTCAAGCCTTGTCTTGGCTTCTCTGTAGGAGCTTGTATAACAGGTTGTCCCACCCCATTTTAAAGGTGTCTTCTCCTGGCTTTTGGGGCATTCTCCTTGCTCTCTGCTTAGCCATCTTCCCTCACTTTCTGTGGCTGGCTCGTCATCACCTGATTGATCACTTTGGCCTCTTCTCTGGACCTCAGTCCCTACCGATCTCCTTCAGTCTGTTATACTGAAAAGCCTCTCTTTGTACCACACTCCAGACCTTTCCCCTGACCCCCGTGCTCGTATGTTCAACCATCCACCAAGCAGGCTTTCTCAGTGGTGTAGCAGATACCCTAGTTACAACAAGCCTGGAAGCGAGCTGCTGTCCTTCTCTGAAGTCACTACCCTACTCCGACAGACAAGAGTCAGAACTTAGGACACCCGAGTCTTTCTAGATGTTTCTTCCAAGCCACATTCATGAGCACAAACCATGCTGTTTGTCCCTTTGTAGTAAATCAAGAGACAGATTGGTTATTTGGTTCATCAACTTCCTGCTGGCTCAGGACAGGCTCATCTCTGTTTTGAATCTTTAGGATAATTTTGTGCCTGGGCCTGCTTATATTTTTGCTTCTATGGCTTGCTTTCAAAAATTGCCAGATTGGTCATTTCAAAAGTTGCAATAATACATAATTTCTTTTTCTTTTTTAATTTAA